TCATATATAATGAACAACACAAAATTGACGATCAAAAATAGATCCAGAGGCAAGTTACCAGTGCACAGACCGTCCAACCTCAGAGAGAAGGAAGGGGAAGGGGGGGGGGAGGTTAGAGATTAACCAAAGGACTTGTATACATGCATATTAGCATAACCAATGGACAGAGACACTGGGATGATGGGGGCTTGTCCTGGGGGGTGGAAGTGGCAGGTGGGGGGTCAATTGGGGAAAAAGGAGACATATGCAATACTTTAAACAATAAAAAAAGAATATTGTGGAGCAGAAAGAATAAAAAAAATAGATCCAGAGATAGAGAAGCATCAAACAGACATCAAACTTCAGGGGGAAGGCGGGAAGGGGGAGGTAGGGGGGGAGGGAGAGATCAACCAAAGGACTTGCATACATACATAAATGCATATAAGCATAACCAATGGACACAGACACTGGGGGGAGGGCATGTGTTGAGGGATGGGAGTGGCCAGGGAGAGGTCAATGGGGGGAAAAGGAGACATATGTAATATTATATGTAATACTTTAAACAATAAAGAATCAAATAATAATAATAATAATTTATAACTTTTAATTCATGGCTATTACATATTCGGCAACAATAGCTTTGGTTGTTATCTAAAGTTTATTGTATACACTTAATTATTAATGAAATTAAATATATATCATATATTAAATGAAAAAGTTAGGGACTTTAATTCCTATAAACAAATGTACCTTAAGATGACTCCACTATAATGTGCTAAAATTCAATTTAATTAACTTTTAGATAACCCTAGTAAATCAATATTTTAATGAAAAATCATCAATCATACTGTTATTACTACAATACATTGCTTAGAAATTTTCAATAAATGGATCATTAAAAGTTAGTGAGTAAAAACTGTGTGATTTCTTTAAAAATAGGACAAAGAACAAAATAGTATCCTGAAATAACAAAGGATATTCAGGAAATATTTCTAAAGCAAGTAGATATTCTATTTTTCTTACACAGTACACGTTTTTAAAAAACTTTTTCTGAAGTTTTAAAAATTACATATAGTGTTTTAAATGTAGGTAAGTAGATTAGAGATAAAATATTTATGATTTTAAAAGAGCTCTGTGTTTAAGCACCATATTTTTGTTGTTTCTGAGAGACATATTACACAAGGATATTTTCTGGTATGTTAATACCCATAGTTCAATCCTACTTCAAACTGCAGCTCCTGAAAACATCTACATGTGAGCACATCTGAGACTCCTGGTGGTAGCCACTCAGCTGAGCCTCCCCAAATTCCTGACCCACAAAATCACAAGGGAAATAAAAGATTGTTTTATGCCACTATGCTTTGGGGTCATTTATTATGAGGCAAGCATTCCAGAAGATAAGTTCAGACAATGCATATACAGAGCTCATTAAAATGTTATAAGCATTGCCTAACTGGCGTGGCTCAGTGGTTGAGCATTAACCTATGAACCAGGAAGTCACAGTTCGATTCCTGGTCAGGGCACATGCCTGGGTTGTGGGCTCAAGCCTCATGGGGGGCTGTGGCCTGGGTTGTGGGCTCAAGCCCCATGGGGTGCTTTGCAGGAGGCAGCCGATCAGTGATTCTCTCTCGTCATTGATGTTTCTATTGCTCTCTCCCTCTCCATTCATCTCTGAAATCAATAGAAAAATAAGTTATAAGCATCATGTTTGTTGGGCAGTGAACATTTGTCATGAGCTCCTAATATATATGCAATGGAAGGGGAGCTCTGCTAGCATTCCACTCCTGGACTTTCCAACTCCCTTGCCTACTCCTCCCTGCGGGAATGAGGGGGATGTCTGATTGGTAACTGTGAGGACTTCATATTGGATGCACTTTTCCTAGCCACTCCCTTTTTTGTTTTCAGAAAAGACCTTCGAATAGAAACCACAGGTTCTCTGCAGTTTTCAGCCCAGATGCTTACCTCAGCAGTGATTATAACAAGAGTGATCTACTATGCTAAGTCTAACTAATTCTGTAATTCAGTATAAGGACATGCCACATGATATTTTATCCTCGTGTATTTCTTTTGTCTTATCTGGTGATTGAGAATTTAGTCAAGGAAAGGGGATACTATTAATTGAGATCCTCTGCTTCAAATTCAATGATGAACATATTGGCTAAACACAGTCATATTTTGGGATGCAATCATTAGTTTGAACCATATTATATTGGTGATATGTCACTGATTATGACCTACACATTTAACAATTTTTATCAAAACTTTAACACTATATGCACAATCAGAAGTTTTATTTTCTTTTGTCCTGTATTTCTCAGGCCCCTATCAGGTGCCCAGTAATCTTGTAAGAGCATTTTCCTGTGGAAAGGAGTAGTTGCTAAGTTTCATTTGACTTAAAGTAAGAGAATTGTTTTCTGAAGTGTGGCCTGAAGACCATCCATATAATGCCAGCTGATGAGTTCATAAAATATGCACCCCTAGTTCTTGTGCTAGACTTATGACATTAACCTCCGGCTGTGGGATTCCAGAATTTGCATCCTAACAGACTCTTCAGGTGATTCTTATGGCAAATACAAGCTCATGTAACTTTTTAAGACAAAAGACATATGATCTCAACATACTCTATGATAGTCAAAGTATAGTCAGACTTTAGGTATCAGACTTTATGGGTTCTATTAACGACTAGAGTAGATTCAGAATCCTGCCCCCCGCCCCCCCGCCCAAAAAAAGGCCCACACAGGATAAACTATGTTTTAAAAATTATGTAATATGATAAGGAAAAAATAAAGTTGATTGAATATTTACAATATGGTAAAGACATCAATATGCATTTTACAAGGCACACTTCACCTTTCTTATACAACAAGGAAAATAAGTATTATTATCCCAATTTTAAAGATGAAGAACTCATCTTAAAAAGAGTTCATGGCCTTGTGTTGCGAAGCAGATCAGTGGCTGGGGTGCCTGTTGTGGTGTGTGTGTACAAGAGTTACTGAAGCCAAATTTATTGTCATGTTAGTAAATGACTTAGAAACTGAAAAAATAAATAATAAAAGAGTTCGGATAACATTGCCAAAGCTGAAACATTATAAATGGCCTAGTTGAGAATCAAAACTAGGTTTGTCTTTCTTTAAAGCTCAGCTTAACTATTCAATTTTTTGAATTTTGACTGTTGAAGAAATTGGTAATATTAAGAGAAAAAAGGCTACCAATCCAGAAAATAAAATGGGGATCTTAAAATAATTTTAGAGAAATATCATGATAGAAAATAAATACAGCAGTCTTAACTTTTTTTATCCACTGGATAAAAGTTGTTGGTTAGAAAAATAAAAACATCTTTAGGTTTCTATAATTGTTTTATAATAAACTAAATAAAAAATAAAAAGGATGTCTACTTTAATAGATATAATCCTTAGCAAATAAAAACTAGTTGATTATTTTTCACTATTACTATAGAAGTAATTTCTGTAAATAGTTTTGAGAAGCCTGAGGTGTAGAGTGTAGACTAAAATATCAGGCTCTCAGTTACTTGACTAATTTATACTGATAAAATAACAGAATACAACGTATCTCTTGTTCTTGGTATATAATAAAGAAGCATCTTTTAAATAAGGAGTAAAAGCCATCTTAGAGAAGAGAACTTTTAGGAATTTTACAGTAGACAGGAAAGTAATGAAACTTTGAGTTAGAAATACTTAATAAGGGCTTATAGACATGAAAATCATACTTGAGCAATCTCGTCGACAGAAATGTACTAAATCGACATGAAAGCAGTTGCCTACAGTTTTCTATGTCTAATTGCTTTTTGACTATTTTAAACATTTTATGGAACTATAACGCCTTTCAAACTTGCCAACTGTGCCATAGAAATATATATTATTTTCTGTTAAGAAAAATATTAAAGCAAACTATAGTTTACCTGGGAAAATTTTTATTTTCAATTTGCATATATAAAATATCTGTACATTTCCAAAGAGATATACTCCCTTAAATATGCCATCATGAGGAGAAAGTGGGAAAAAGAACACTAATATATGTGGGAACACATTCTTTCAAAGATAAACTATAAATGGATAGGGAGTAGCCTAAATTGTCAATCTATGGAGTTAGCATGTTGTTTAAAGATATGATGACTTGAAGGAATACAAAGCGTATTTTGAATAAACTGATTTCAAATTTTTCTGCTATCAATGTTGGAAAGTCAAAGCTACATATATTATAGATATCACTGACTTTTGCAGAATTAGATTTAAATTAATGAAAGTCATTTAAAGGACATTTGCCTTTAACATTGAGAAAATAAAACCCATCTATCAGCTTACTGTTACATTTTTTACTCGTGTGAAAATGCCAACCCATCATATCATTAATTTACTAACTTTTTCTTTCTGTTTTGCTTCTGTTTAAACTTGGACATTTATATGACTTGTTTAAAATGACAAGTATAAAAATCCATGGATTTTAGTGAAATATATGGTGATGTTTAATTGATTTTTACATAACTTGTATGCGTCTGATGAAAGATCACAATTTACATTTATACTCATTTATCTTATTAGATTCAATATTATATGAAAGCAGAAACCTACTTTTGTACTGCACAAAGACAGTTCAAAGAGTAAAGAGTGAAATGACAGACAGACTTTTGTTAATTCGAATTACTTTCATTTTCACAGCACAGGGTGAAGGGGATAAAACTGTCACAAGGTATCTTATACATTCAGTATATACCAAAAGCCACTTTGGCAAATTGAAGAATTCCAACAACCTAAGATTGTGTGGTTTAATAAAAAATACCTTTAAATATTAAATATTAAACTATATATTTCCTCCTCTGAATTTAGTTTTAGGCTGATTGTGGTAGACTTACCTTTTTAAAAAATAAACCCTTATTGTATTTCTTACTAGTTACTTGGTCAATTGGAGTCCAATGTGAGATTTAATAACGTGCAAAACACCAAAAATACAATGATATTGAAAACCACTATGTATTGAGTTTCTGTTACCTTATCGCCTTCGGAGAATGTGATTCCATCCACGGCTCTTTTCCATGTGATCTCTGGAATAGGCTCCCCTTCTGCTTCACAGATGAGTGTGACTTGGCCATTCTCATACGTAGTTTCATTTTTTAGCTGTATTATGTGAGGCTGTACTGTAAAGAATACATACATTACTCCATCTATACTGGAAGAAAATATTTCTATTTAGACCTAAAATCCATGATGGGCATTTGAGTCCACAGTAGTATGATATGGAATTGTTAACATTACAGCAGGCATGGCAGCATGCTTTGCTTTAGAGTGGGGCCGAAAGAGTTGCAAGGAACAGGTGAAAAAATTTCCAAAGATAGTTCACATCGATGATCATTGTAAACTAACTAGAGGCCTGGTGTATGATATTCATGCACTCGTGGGTAGGGGGGTCCCTCAGGCCGGCCTGTGCCCTTTGTCAGTCCAGGAGTCCTCAGGGGATGTCCAACTGATGGCTGAGTCCCACTCCCCAGACATCCTTAGTGCTGCTGTGGAGGAGGGCAGCTGCGCTGGTTGTTCTGCTGTTCAGTCAATTTGCATATTAACTTTTTATTATATAGGATTTGAAGTGGGTTAGATACCAACATACACATTATAATTCCTTCCAACATATTGTCATCTTAAGAGTCACTTTATTATGTATTTTTCTCTTAAACCACAAATTAAAATTTTCCCTTTTAAAGCCACATGTGTGTTTAAGTGTGAGTGTGTCTGTGTCTGTGTGTGGAGGGGTGGCATAGCATCCACTTAGTGAGTCATTATCTCCTAAGCTTTTAAAACAATATTGGCAAGGAGAAAACAATGATGACTGTATCCTGAATATGTAGTTAGGTATAATTATGAAAGCCAAACAAATAATTTTTAAAAAGCATACAAGTTCTTAACTCTCTATAAGATTGCTAAATAAAATAATATAGCTTTTAGTAATTATGGAAGATACTTATATTATATTTCTTTTTAATGAAATGAAATGGGAATATTTAATTACAGTTGCATGACAATGTGGCCTAATTATAGCCTCATAGGTGTGCTCTTTTGAAATATAATGAAAGTACAGCTGATCCCAACATATTTCATTTAAAGGTTTATGAGGAGCAATGAATATCTATACTAATAAAAGCCTAGGTGGCCCTTGTGCCCTTGCACCCTAAAGTCCTCACAAGATGGCCACCCCCATGTCTTCACAAGATGGCCACCCTCACGTCATCACAAGATGGCCACCCCCACATTGTCACAAGATGGCCATCCCCACGTTGTCACAAGATGGCTGGCAGGGGAGGGTAGTTGTGGGCGATCAGGCCAGCAGGGGAGGACAGTTGGGGGCAATTGGGCTGGCAGGGGAGGACAGTTGGGGGCAACCAGGCTAGCAGGGGAGGGCAGTTAGGGGCAACCAGGCCATTGGGGAGGGCCTTTGGGGGCGACCAGACTGGCAGGGGAGGGAAGTTGGGGGTGACCAGGCCTGCAGGAGAGGGCAGTTGGGGGTGACCGGGCCAGCAGGGGAGGGCAGTTGGGGGAGATCGGCTGGCAGGGGAAGGCAGTTGGGGGCCATCGGGCCAGCAGGGAAGCAGCTAGGCATCAATCAGGCCGGCAGGGGAGTGGTTAGGGGTGATCAGGCTCGCAGGCAGAAGAGGTTAGGGGCTATCAGGCAGGCAGGCAGGCAGGCAGGCGAGTGGTTAGAAGCCAGCAATTCTGGATTGTGAGAGGGATGTCCGAGGGGTCCTAGGTTGGAGAGCGTGCAGGCTGGGTGGGAGAAACACCCCCTCCCCCCCCAGTGCATGAATTTCATGCACCGGGCCTCTAGTATCTATATAAGAGATCCCAGTAGTGTAATTTAAATGAATTTCTTCAAGCCTCTGTATGAGTCAGCCAATGTTTCACAGAAACTTACATGTATAATTTCATGTAATTCTTAAAACAATTCTATCTGGTAGCTGCAATTTTAAAATATATTTTAGAGATGAAAAATGGAGATTTCATTTTGGAAAGTTAAACAGTTCATACAAGTGACAAAGTAAAAATTGACCCAGACCTCCCTCTAGACATAACAGTTTTAACCACTATGCTATAATACTTACCAAAGACTTGTAGGAATGCCTGTTTTTCATCTTCTCCTGCCTTATTTGTGGCCCTGCAGACATAATGGCCTCCATCACTATTGATTATGTTTCTGACAGTGAGTTCTGTATTGCTTCCTTTCAATATGTACTTTTCACTTTCTTCAATGAACTTGCCATTCCTAAAGAAAAGAAAAGAGGTTGATCTTCATAAATCAGGCTTCACAACTCAGGAGACATATTCAATTTTTAAAAAATATACTTTTATTGATTTCAGAGGGGAAGGGAGAGGGAGAGGTAGAAACATCAATGATGAGAGAGAATCATTGATCTGCTGCCTCCTACATGCCCCACACAGTGGATCAAGCCTGCAACCCAGGCATGTGCCCTGACAGGAAATTGAACCATGACCTCCTGGTTCATAGGTTGACAATCAACCTATTGATTGCCAGCCAGGCATCATACTCAACTTTTTGATCTGTAGTTGGTAATAATTTCATAGCTCTTGATAGACAAGGCTATAATCCAATCTAAAGTATACTTCTAGTAGCCCAGAAAAACTTAATGTATTAAAGTTATACTTTAAAACAGTTTTGACTTTATAGACAAGAATAACATTTGAGTTATGTTGAAATATTGATACCAATCTTAGGTAAAACAGCACATTGGTTCAATCTATACTTTGATTATTAAACCAAAAAAAGTCTGATGATTTTAACTCTATGTACCTTTATAATGTTGGTGAGTCAACACGTATTTATGAAAACTTTATTTACTATGTTCCTGAGACACATTTAATAGAATTTCTATGGAAACCTACTTTAAGTAAGTTTCAAAGTAAATGCAATTTAAATATGCAACCGATTTATTTTGAAAACATGTACTGCCAATAAAAGGGTAAAATGAAATAATTATGTAAAAATGCAGTTAGAGAAATTATGCTGAATATAATGATTTAATTCCCTAGTGAGGAGAAATCATTTAAAAAAATAATTTCCTTCTTAGATTTAAATATTTAACACTTTCCATGTTCTTTCTGGACTGAAGCCATATTCGTTCTGCCCTAAAGATAGCCTTTGCAGTACACTAAGACAATGTCTTGCACACTTTTTATAACAACTATAGTAAGAAATATTTTAAATATCTTTAAATCTGAAACAATTCCTACAATTCCCCTTAATATGTGTGATACCTCTTATGTTGTATATTTTTTTAATTCTATTTATTGTCATCTCCTCTCCCTCCATTTCTTTCTTCCAGCTCTCCTTCTATATCTTTCTAATAATGGTGCTTTAGATGATTGAATAAAGTTTAATGTCCACTGATGTAAAAAGTTTAGGATCTGTTCTTAGGGCTGGAAAGACTTACTTTCCCGTACAAATATAAATTTAAAAAGAAAAATCTCTAAAAGGATTATAAAGTATTTCCTCTATAGAAACAGAACATTTATCTGATAAACTTAATGACCTTTCCAGTGAACTTTGGCTTTGCTTTCTAGAAAGCACTGGCACATATCTTCATTCAATCCTTATCCTTCTATAACTCAATAACATCTGCTTGTTCAGTTTCTATTTATATGTCTAAAAATATCAGGAAATGTGCAAAAATATCATAAGGGTCGAGTGCAAAAGTAGAGTTTATAAACTACTAATAGCAAATGTATATATAGCACTCTGTACTTTTAACTTAAAAATATTTTTACTAACCCTATATTTACAATTATAAAAAATGACATTTCAGCATTTTGCTCTAGAATTTCATGTATAAAGAGATCTTTCAGTGCAGTTGGTGATACAATCTATTTCTCAATCTATTCAGTGAAAAATATTGATTTGTTTAATACTAGGACTACTAATAAAATAATAATACACTAGAAGTTTCAATAACTTGTGTCTTATACAACATTTTGCCTATATTATTTACCTGTGTGAATTCTCACAAGTAGCCCATAGATGTGTATTTTCCCTCTCTGCCCTCATTCACAGATCGCAACTAAAATTTTTAGTACAATTTCCTTATCCCTCAATTCAAACAGTAATATAAGGAGCAGATTAACTAACTTCCAGTGTTCTTTCTGATAAGGAGAGTTATTTCCCTACCTCATGTGAAATATTGAACTAATATAGAGTCCAGGCACATGAAATTCGTGCGCGGGTACAGTCCCTAGGCCTGGCCTGCAATCAGGGTCATCTTCCCCAGCTGCCTGCAGCCAGCCCCGCCCCCTCCCAACCCCTGGTTCCCTTTTTGCCATCAGGTGATCAGTGCCTGACGGCCAGGGGAAGGGACCAAAAGGTGGTCAGTGAGCTTCATAGTGACTGATCCAACAGTCGTTCTGGTCATTCCGCTGTTAGGGTCAATTTGCATATTATCCTTTTATTATATAGTATGTTTGAAATGTAGCAAATGAATGAGGCATGGGCACTTATCATGAAAAATTCATATTACTGACAGTAATAGAGGGTATTATAGATCCCATTACTAAGTTAATAACTTTTTGGGTTTTGTTTTTAGGGAGACTGAGAAGATATCTACTATAGTAAGGGAGAAGAGAAAAGAAGGTGGCTGACATACTCTGGGAGTTTTCAAGGGGAAAAAGTCATGATTTGAGCTTTGAAGTGAATGGATCTTGAAAAATTCAGTGGAAATCAAAGAAACAAACAAATAAACAACATTATACTAATACAGGCAGAGGACAAACTGATGGTTGCCCAAAGGGAGAGGGGTTGTGGGAATGGATGAAAAGGTGAAGGGACTGAGAAGTAATCATGGGAATGTTAAACTCAGCATAGACAATATAAATCATATTATAATAAGTTATGTGGTGCCAAGTGGGTACTTGAATTATCGGGGGGATTACATTGTAAATTATATAACTATCTAACCACTAAACTGTATACACCTGAAACTAATATAAAATAATGTCAACTGTAATTGAAAAATAAAATTTAAAAAATAAAGTGTAAAAAATGAAATGCAAAAACATGAAGTGTGCAATGTAAAAAATGAATGAATGAAAAAAGAAACATGTCTTAGAGACAGAATGATCAGCACTATGGGTGCACCTTTGACTTGGGTTAAGTCACTCTGCTGATCTCTAACAGTTGAATCTAACCAATGTAAATGAAAACAAAAGCATAATAGCCTTTTAAATAAAATTCAAAAACAACACTTTCCTTCCAGACATAATGGAAAGGTCGCAACTATTTTTTCATGAGCCTGATTAGGGACACAGACCAGAGGGAATTGTGGGTACACAGCCTACCTGTACCAAGAGATGGTGGGCTCAGGAGAGCCAGAGGCCCTGCAGGATAATGTCATCTCTTCTCCTCTCTCTGCTGTGGCATTGAAGGATTTCTGAGGCATTGTGATTGCTGGTGGCACTGAAAAACAGATGAACGTAGATAAAGAGAGATGAACATTTCAGCATCGAACAGACTGTCAAACTACAGCGGGAAGACCCGGGAGGGTTGGGGGAGAGGGGTAAGAGATCAACCAAAGGACTTGTATGCATGCATATAAGCATAACCAATAGACACAAGTCACTGGGGGTTAGGGGTGGCCGGGGGAAGGTCAAGTGGGGGGGGAAGGAGACATTTGTACTTCTCTTTGTAATATTTTAAGCAATAATTTTTTTAAAAAAAGAACATTTCAGCAATACCATTGGGACATATTTACCACCACTTTTGCTGTTGTTGTTTACACTAAGCTATAAAATATTTTTAAATGTTTTTATCAATTTTTAGAGAGAGAGGAAGGGAAAGTGACAGAGATGTAGAAATATCAATGAAAGAGGAACATCATCAATTGGCTGTCTCCCACATGGCTCCCACTGGGGATGAAGCCCGCTACCCAGGCATATGCCCTGACCAGGAATCGAACCAGTGACCTCTTGGTTCCTGGGTTGACACTCAATCGCTGACCCACAGGGGCCGGGCCTAAGATTTAAAACTTGATAGTCAACATCTGTACTTACATCAACAGGCTGACTTGATCTCAAATGACTTTAAGATCACAGATCTACTTTCTGATGTAGGATAATTAGATAATTTACTCTATGCCATTATACTATTTTGAATCTATCAAACTAGACTAAACAATAAAATAGACATTTTGGTATATATATATACTTTTATAAAATACTGTTCACAAAAAGACAGGCTCTACTACCCTGACTTACAGCAGTGCTGAGATCTACTTGGAGCATGAATGGATTTCCTATTTGGGTTCTCATCAGTATATGTAATTCTATAAGCAATCATTCACTGCTTCAAGACAGGGCTTTCAAATTAGGTGTCAAGCCATAATGTTCTTTCTGATTAACTGCATTTAATTTCTTTAAACAACTATAGACCATTTTATAAAGAGAAACTGCTCAAGCCATAGAGAGTATGAAATAGATTTTCATGAACAATTCAATTTAAAATTAAGCTTCCCCAATTTCTAACTAATTACATTACAAAAACTGTGTGTGCTGCACATTTCATACTTGTTGAAACTGTTACTGAAATGCACTGTTTGCAATAAACAAATCAATAACATCCATAAGAGAAGCTAAATTTCAAAGGACAGCATAAATTTTGATTTAATGCACACTTTTATGATTTTCTATTTAATATGACAAGATGATATCCCCCAAATTAGTTATATTAATAGATTTGTTTTTAACATATAACAAACAGTATGACCAGACTGGCATTTACCAGTGTGATTTTAATTAAATATCCCAACATGGCATTCAGGTCAGCATTAATGCTGCATTATTGCCATTGATAGTGGGAAGAGAAGCTGATATGTATCTTAGTAATTAATCACAATAAATCAAGTTTCTCCCCTTAAAAATTCAGGTACAAGGGGCATAATCTGACATGCTGTCTCTAAAGTAACACAATAATTACTAGTGTTATAATAGGATGGACCTTTTTCACATATTAACTCTGCATTTTAAGTACATTGAAATTTAACATTCTGTATCCCATTTGCCATCTCTTGTAATTATGAAAAAATAACATTTTAATAAATGCATTGCTTTTCATTTGATTATTATAAATGTAGTTATAAGAACACTATGCCTGTTTTTATTACAGCAATGAAGATTTTTAACCCTTTAGAGAGCTATAATGAAAATAAACACTTCAATAGAAATTCTCTGTACAGGAAAGTATTTTTGAACATAGAAACACTTCCAAATGGAGAGTCACATGCCCTGGTGGTTGCCTGTTACTAACCTAAAAAAGTTATTTATTTTTTATCATAATTTTCTTTTCTATGAAGTGTACTGCATATGCTGGATGATCTGTAAGAACTGACAAATATTGACATTTATGTTGTGATACATTGACTTTGCTAGTGATATATACATTCTTATAGTATAGATTAGCAGAAAATATGAATATTATATATTTACATAGAACTTTGAAGAATAATTCTAGAACTATTCTGAAGTGTAATAGCATTTAAATTTGCAGAGATATTCACTAGTTCAAATGTCAAAAAGTCCTGGAAGTTTTTTAGCCACTGTTTTAGACTATAGAGTATTTTTTGTATATTTACCTAGTTATAAGTATGCTATTGAGTTGGATTAAATAACTTTAAATGGAATTACCATTATATTTCATTCAAATTTATTTTTCTCTCATAAATCCCACATTTCCTCTATTTTAACTTTTTAAAAATACTTTTGTGCATTTTTTACTACATCTGAAACTTTTATCTATCTATCTATCTATCTATCTATCTATCTATCTATCTATCATCTAGTAGAGACCCGATGCACAAAAATTCATGTAAGAGTAGGCCTTCCTTCCCCTGGCTGCCAGCACCGTCTTCCTTCTGACACCCAGGACCCAGGCTGGCTTCCCTTGTGCTGCCCACAGGCACCCGGGACCCCGGCTGGCTTCCCTCCAGCCCCAGCTTTGTTAGGAAGGACGTCCGGAATGATGTCTGGAAGACGTCCCAGTCTAATTAGCAAATTACCCTTTTATATTTATAGATTATATACATACTAGAACTCCAGTGTGTGAAATCATGCCAGCCCCCACCCCACCCACGCCTGGTCTTTGGTCTTACGGCATTAGGGCCACAGGCTTTTTATAATATAGACTAGAGGGGGGGGAAGGGGGGGAAGGGGGGGTCCCTCAGCCCGGCCCTGTGCCCTCTCGCAGTCTAGGACCCTTGGGAGATAACGACCTGCTGGCTTAGGCCTGCTCCCGGGTGGCAGAGGGCAGGCCCAATCCCCTAGGTGCAGCCCCTGGTCGGGCTCAGAGCAGGGCTGATTGGGGAGTTGGGGCGCTGCTCCCTGTCATGCACAGAGCAGGGCGGATTGGGAGGTTGTGATGCCACCCTCAGTCACGCTCAGGGTAGGGCTGATTGGGGGGTTGGGGCACCACCCCCTATCACACTCAAGGCAGGGTCAATGGGGAGGTTGCGGAGCCCACCCCCTGTGATGCACAGAGCAGGCCAATCAGGGGGTTGTGCACTGCCCCCTGTCACGCACAGAGTAGGGCTGATAGGGGAGTTAGGGCACCGCCCCCTGTCACACACACAGCAGGGCTGATCAGGGGGTTGGGGTGCCGCCCTCTATCACCCACAGAGCAG